TTTTAAAATTAATAAATAATATTATCTGCGCATTGTTTATGTATTTTAGCTTTTTTTATTATTTTGGTGTTATTAATTATTATTATTATTATATATTAGCTAATATATAATAATAGTATTCTTAAAACATTTATCGTGAATTATTACTTGCATAGAGATATTTATGCGATTCTACAATCTCGAGTTTACTTCTTATTTGGTGTAACTATTTCCAATTTGACTTGTTTGTCTCTATATCGCTTAGTAGACGTTTATCATAAGTAAGTGATTTCTTTCATTCCTGCATACGTCGGATCTAATTTTAAAAGCTCGATAGCGGTACCGCAACGCATTTCTCTCTGAATGCGGAGGATTCCGGCCGCATTCTACTTTCAGGTGTCCGCAGGTAAAGATGAATCGTAGGAACACACGAGGGAGACACTTACGCGATGGATACATGTACATACATGAGACATCGCGTAAGCGTGTTCAAGGCACGTTCCTTCGCGCAGAAACCGCGTGCGGTCGGGCGGCAGGAACAGGAGTAGGTGGGGGGGAGAGGGGAGAGGGTTGAGAAGAAAAGCAGGAACCTCGGAAAATGTCAGAGAAAAATTCCAATATGCCTCGAAATTCTGGCGGCCGTGCATGGAATGCATCTGAGCCCCTTGATTGTGCTTCGGTAGCATATTTTTCTCGTACTTCCGATATTGCACCGGCGAGTTTCCTCGCTTTATAACTGCGTGCGCCATTGAATCTCCGCTTTCCTCGATCCGTGCAAGGTGCGCCATGTGCGTCCACAAAGGACGCGGAACTTTTTCCCCGTTTGTACCTATATCAAGAGCAGTTTCCGCTTTTCAATGCAAGACATTTATTTATTTCATTCAGGTATTATATATTGCGTCTTACGAATTTATCTGTCTCTTTAAAATCTAACAATATCATGTTCAGTTGGTCATTTATTTAAGTTGCTTATACAAAATTTACAAAGTGGATTAAAATATTACAGAGAGAGAAAGAGTAAATACTTCTATTTTATATCGCATCAATTATTAATATTATCCGTTTATATATAAATAAATAAATAAGATTTCCACATATATTGTGGTGTGACTTAAATAAACGACTTAAAATTATGCACACATTTATATATATTTTATATCATATTTAGAAATTATTACGAAATTTAAACTTTTTTTCTGTAGTTATTTTTTAACGATTGTCATTAGTTTTAATATATATATTTTGTTGCAGGTGATGCCTCTTCCCCGTATGAACTTCTTGGCCATTTCATCGATACATTTAAACGAATCGTCAATGCTAATAATGCCCATGTAAAAAATAATCGTTGGCAACATATCGATTATCTGCGATCCGCGATCCATTAACGCAATCGTTTCATCCTGTGCATAATTTTGCCGTGCATTTATAATCCATCCAATCATTGCACACCGAACCGAAATTGATTCGACGTCTAATATTATCGGCGTTACTTGAAACAGTAAATGATCGTCTACGCACCGCGAGGTATCGGTAGAAAACCGTTTTGCGGCACGAGCCACGTACCCACTCGGGTACGGTAGATCCTTGGCCGAAAACCAGCATCAAGATAAAGTCAGTGGGAGCTGTACCGCAGGATGCGCGAGAACGGGTGGTGCTGTTAGTGGTGGATAACAATTCGTTGGAGGAACCAGTGAGCGGCGAGAAAGGGGGCCACGAAAACGGCCCCCGAAAGGGCCCGCTGGATGGTTTAGCCTGCGAGCAACCATCGAGGAGACCTAACCGGCAAGAGGGCGAGAATATTCGAACGACCGAGACGCAGGACTCCGATACCGTCTTCGGTTCAGATCTCGCCGCGGTGGACACCGGGCTGGGATCGATCGACGAGCGCATAGAACTCAATGAAAGAATCGGAAGCAAGAAAACAAAGCGGCCGCAAAGCCCCATAGTATCGACGATCGACGACGATATCCCGATCTTGATACACTGCAAACGTCATCCGGAGGAACTTAACGGCGCAGCCTTGGAGCTACAATCGGCCGGTAATAATTCCGACGCGCGCTTAAAGCGTTCGAGGAAGACGTTGGACGACGACAACGACAACGTCAACGACGACGAACAACCGGCGAGAAGAATCTGTGCGGCGCATCGGCACAAAGTGTCCTGTCACATAACACGGACCCACGCGGAGCCACTCTGCCGAAGAGACGCGAGCCGAAGCCGGCCTTGTCGTGTTCATGATCGTCGACGAAACTGCCCGAGAGGAAAATCGACAGAGAGACCAGAACACCGGCGTCTGAGGTACCACGATCCGGAGAACGCCATCATTCGATTAGAACAGGACCCGATACTTCGTCCGGTGCGCATCCTCGGTTGTCCTCCCACGGAGGATCAGGAGATATCCTCCTTCCTGGAGCCAGCCGGGCCCAGTTACGTTTACCCGGACATCAACGTGGGCCAGTTCGCCGGCGGTGAGCCGCCCTGCTTCGCTCAGCACAATCCGGACAATATTCTGCCCAAGAGCCGCGTCGGCAGCATCGCCAGACTCCTCGACGGGCCGAATCGCGCCGTGAAGGACATCAATCGCAAGGTCCTGGCGATGGCGCGAGCCATGACGCCCGCCTGGTCTCTACGTCTGCTCGGCGTCAGCTGCGGCTCCGTAGTCTGCGCCTGGGGACTTTTGCTAATATTATCCGTGCTCGGTGGCGGCGCCTCGCATGGCACCGGGATCGGTAGTTTCGGCCTCGGTAGTATGACGGGTACGATGGACGATTTGAACGGAATCAGGTGTCCTTGGGCGTGCACGTGCGGCGGACAAGAGGTCGATTGCTCTCATCGCGGCCTGACGCAGATACCTGGGGACCTGGCGAGCTTGCTCATCGCGGAAAAACTGTAAGTAACTAAATGTTGATTTCATCTTGTGAATACATGGCGTGATCGTGCTTATAAAAAAATTGCGTAGTATGCGTTAACGAAAGGGATAAACTCTGTTATATAATAATTTCACTTAAACGCGCGTTGTCTAAATGGGAAAGATAATATTTTGACAACATTTTTTCTTGAAACAAAAACAATATCTAAACTGTTTATCTTAGTTATTTTATTACTATTATAACATTACACAGTTGGGGCGTCGATGCTATAATTGCGAGAGTACAGCCGAAGGTCTGAGTTGCGTAATTATAGTTTCTCGAGAAATTGTTAACGATTTTAACCATGTCGAATTAACGCCTCGTGTAAAAAATTCAAGTGAGAGATTTTTGTTTAACTTTTTGAAGATTAATTTGGAATACGAAACAAGTGGAATCAAATGGCGTAAATTGCAAAATATTACGCCATGATCCTAAAGCATATTCATGCATAATAGCGCGCACGTGTCGCAGTTTTGTAATTGACGTTTTTTAACATTCGCGTTTTTTGATTTTTCGTTTTCGATACATGACGAGCCGGAGCACGGCGCGGCAGATATTTTCATTTTATTTATAAATCAACCAGAAATCTAGATTCGTGTTTGCTCTCGAGAGAGGCTGCCTCGAAATATCGTTGATCGGCGAAATAATCGATACGGCGGTAAAAATCGGCTTGTCTGTGTAGGTCGTAGCGTTCACTTCGTTATTCGCAGTCCATTCCTTCGGGAAACAATCCGCATCGTCTTTTTTGCAAAGCAACCGCTGTATAATGAACGTTGGCTGCTGCCGCGACTCAATAAGTTCCTTTCGCTCGTGTGTATTTGTATTTAATTGAACCAAATTTAACGAAAGGCGAATGCCGCGAGAAATTCAACGGCGGAGCAATTTCGAATATCATGATATTTGCATATTTTCATCGAATCGAGACACCGAAGTAACGACCGTTTAACAACTGCGCGCTCTTGTTGCCAGTTGGGGGACAGAGAAGGTAATGCAATAAAAACGGGGAGGCAACGCTATAATATACATTACAGTCGGCAATAGAAGGAGATATAAAGAATGCCTTACGTTCTTCCGGAGAATTCTCAAAGATATTGCAGCGCTCGCTTTTTACCAATAATACTGTCTTGAATATCACAGTATCGCGCACATCCGCATATTGCGCGGAATAATGCGTCGGTACATTGATTCGGCCCGAAATATCCCAATTTTCGGGTAAGCGATATTGTCAAGAGTCATAGAATGGGCATGCTTTGTTTCTGCTTTACGCAATCTGCGCAATTCAAATAAAAGCACCGACATTTATTGAAATGATGTATTAACTCTTTATCGGATCTTTATTTGCCGATGCAATATTGCACAATTTGCGAGAAACGCTATTTACTTTTTTTCATATTGTATATTTTTATTGAGATATTACAATGTCATGATCATTATTAAATCAATATTAAATAAGATAATAAAATCTGGGTAAATATTTAATGAATGCAATTTGAATTTTGATATATTGTCTGCGTGTGTTTGCTTATACATAGATATTTAAAATCAGTCGCGTAGACTAATCAAGATATAAAAAATACGTTGTGCTCAGTCTCAACTCTTCATATTTTTTTTTCCAGAGTGATCGATCTCGAAATCACATTTTGATAAATCCGTGCATGATATTCAATATACATTAACGGCTTTTGATTAGCATATAATTAATATGCCATAGACGAACGAGAGAAATACCAGGAATAATTAAATCCTCGAAATACATTGATGCGCGGTAACTCATCGTGGATGCGGTTGCACGAAGGATCTATCATGAAAATACCAGTGACTCGAAAAACGAAACGGCTACCGAACCGACGACGTCTTTTTACGCGAGATTACGGGCATCTAATGCTTGCGCGGGCCACGAAATTCATTATGTCTCGTAAGCACGAACCGCTCGTATCTCAAAGAATATGCGCGCGCGTGTCCTGCCTGTAAATTAAATTTACAACGTCAAAACGCGCGAGCATCGCGACTATGGCATATCGCGTTAAAATGTGCGTACGATATTGATGTTAAATATTAACGCGTTTTTTTATTCGCAGTCGGACGTCGCTCATGGATATATGCATACTGCCATGTAGACGCACGTGCGTATTTTGAAATTTGCTGAAACCGTATCGGATCGATACCGATATAATTGGCTCGGAATATATATTTGACGCAGATGTATTGCAGATACGTCGCGTTTTATATTTTTCGCGGAAAATCTCTATAATCCTCTGTAACATATCCAGAACATCGACGTACGGATATCTAAACACTGATACAATACGTTATAATTTAACTGAAAAAAAAAAAAAAAGAATACGTAAGGTATGTAAATTGCATCGAAGGAAATTATGTAGCATTGCTCTAGCTTACATTATCACATTTAAACCGCTATCGAGAATGCATGATATCGGTACTTACGATCGATGCCAGAGCGAGCGCTCGAAATGAGATTAATGACTGCAGTCAATATGCTTGCATGAAAGTGACGTGATTGATAGCAAGCATGTATAAAGTAAGACTATGAATACCGCGAGTGAAAAGATTCGAGAGACGAACGGTGAACGGAAATACTAGACATAAAAGTAACGTCATTTATTTTTAAATTCCTTTTACTAAAATACTGTTAACATTCAATAATTTTTATTAATCACATATTTTATTAACATTCGATTTTTTACGTACATCTAAATATATATTATATAATATATAACGCAAGGTAATTAAAATGTTACTTTATTTATATAAAGATTTTTGAGTAATATATTCTCAAATTTTGAAAACACGCGTTCTCTAAGTTTTCCGTATTAATTTACGTTCCTCAATTCGCGTTAATCAATGGAGCTATAATAAACGTCGACACAAAATCATCAACTGCAGGAGACGGGCGATATAGATGAGCCACTTTGATCACTATCCAACTGAGAATCGCTGTTTATACCTGTTCACCCGCAGCGAGTCGATCTTGGGATAATTAGGGACCCAAGGCAACTAGATTTCCCTCTTCATAGCTAACCCTATCTAAATCTGTAGCCTGCAGATGGCTAAACGCTTCCATGTTATACATGAGTATACATTGATTGGTGTCACTACCAGCCATATCTTGCTATCAGTAGTTCGAATGAATCTCCGGGGACGGTTCTAAGTTACGATGTATACGATTTAACACGCCTGCAGAAGATCCTGGTAGAGTATATATTGATGTATCACAAATATATTCAATATTATATGTGGCAAATTAAATTATTATATTGATATCGTGTCAAGTTTATAGTGTTATGCGTTAACAGGATTTTCTATAATAATGTTTCACGACACGTCATTACGGTCATATAATGATCACGTCATGTGAAATTTATCAACTAATATCAATCGGTTGTATATCATTCCAGAAACAAGGATTATATCCTAAACTATATATCCTATACTAAATTAATTAATTAATTTTCTAAAAATTTTAGTTTAAAGAGAATATTGATAAAATAATACAAAACTTATAGCGATTTTATTTTAATTTTATTATTATTTAGTCATTAGCGATAAATCTTTGTTTTATCGCCATGTTTATATCGTTCATAATTTTCGACGTTTCCGCATTTCTCAATGAAATAACGTGTCGACGGTTAACGTAATATATTCTTTCTCGCATCGAAACGACCATCAAGAAATTTACAAATATATGGGGGTTCGAGGTCGACGCCACACTTTGCTTCCGGCAGCGTTCTGCTTCCACGAGTGGAACACGCCGTTGTATAATAGTCGTACATCTACGCGATATCGCCTGCACTTATGATTTTTCGATTAAGCTACGTAAACAGAGTATACGGTAAGCTAAACATCTGCCAACGCGGGCCGAGTGTTTGGGCAAAGCTCCGATACGTTCCGCCAACTAACATTCAACGAACTGACGTCCGTAAAGTAACGTTCTACATTCAGTTACCACGACTTGTAGCTACCGCACTACGATGCAGTAAATATTAGAATCGACACGTGTGGCAGCCATTTTGTTGATCCACCACCGTTCCCAATATTTACGTTTTCCAACCGCTTGTGAGCCAGATTTTATCGACTATCTTCATGCTTTCGCTCGCTAGATAAATACATATTTCCCTGTTAACGACGCTTCATTATTTACACGATCGTGGAAAATATTGTCGAGTACCTCCCAATTTTGTGTGTCAATTACGATTTTGGAGTAGAACTGCTGTGATTACGTTATCGACAAATATCTCACGTTTTAGATATTTTCAAATTAATTCAAATTAATAAAAATGTTTATAACAATGCAAAGATATCATAATATTATATTACATCATAATACTTGCATATATGTTATTGAAATATATAGCTTTGAAAAGATACGAGAATAACTTGTATAATATACCCACTGAATATCGAAAAACGATTTTTCATGATTTCGGAAAAATTTCTCATAATTTAATAATAAAATATTTGAAAAATTGATTTTTATAATATAACCGTTGGAAAGCTCATGGAACATATTACATTACAACTACACAGATTCTGCATTATGTGACAAAATTGATTCATTAGAGACATTTTTATGTAATTCTGCAAAATCAAAAATTTCTATAAATTTGTGACAATTCTGGATTAAAATAATAATATTATGTTCCTACACTATTTCCATTCTGTGAAACTTTAAATATAAGAAAACGGCGGAAATTCATGAAATGAAGGTGGTACGCATTTCAACTTAATTAAGAAATTCCAAGCGTGTATTTTTTTAGTCCGGTCGCGTATCGCTGGCGAATGTTTAAAGTTAGTGATCCTCGTGACGATCAATGATTTTAATTAGAATTTTTTTACGTGCAATCCCATGTTTCGCGACGTGTGAAATCGGGTAAGATATGTAGCCGGTTCCCTTCAAATTCCTCAAGTGCAATGCAGTGATCCGCATAGTTGCTCACACGGCGTGAAACTACCATGTTCGCT